TAGATATGGATTTTGGGATTGCTGAGCAATTGAACCAATTTTTCCATATAGCTAGTGTATTTGGCACCAAATGTTTTTTGCTTTGGCTCTTCCTTTCTGGACTATAAAGTTTTTGGAGATTGTTGGGTAGGGGAATGTTGTCTAAGTTAAGTGTTGTCTTTGAATTATACAGGATAGAAAGCCATCTCTTTTTCAAGATAGTTTTATTTTTTGCAAACCATTATGTATAAGATTTGACATGGTTCTCCCTCCCTTTATTTCAGTATCTATCTTTTATTCAAATGCCATGAGGAAATTATAAAAAAGGCTATTCAAAAGCAAAGCAATCCAGTTAAAAAAAAATTGTCCAAGGCTGACATGGCTCGGTGGTTGACTGTATCTCCATTTGTGGACATTGATCGCATTCTTGAAATTATACAACAAAAGAGCCTAATTATAAGTGACTCTTTGGAATTCACAACGAAGGATCCCCTCGTCGATTTGTTTCGAGAAGACCACCCAAAGGTTTTTTCAAACTAAACGTGGATGCCAATATTCGAAAGGGAGAAGAAGCCTATTGTGGTATTGTTGTAAGGGACGAAAATTTGGAGCTTATTAGTTACACTCACTACAACTACCGTTGTGAAAATATAAAAGAGGCAGAACTGGATACTCTTATTAAGGCGATGGAGATGGTTCGGATGAAATTTAAAGGAATTGATCAATTAATTGTTGAGATGGATCGGCGGGATCTTGTCCTTGACATCAATTCCCTCAAAATTCCAAAAAATTCTGTCAACTTCGAGAAAATTTTGCAAGTGCAATACCATAAAATATGTGGGTGTTTTGCATAATAATTATAGATTTAATGGATCTAATGTGTTTCAACAGTTTCGCCAAGAATTTGTTGCATTCTTTTAAGGATGCATCATTGATTTGGGTTCCCCGAGAGATGAAGAAGGCTGCCAATGTGATTTCGTTACTTGATCTATATAAAGATAAAAAATATAAAATCATAGACTCTTTTCACTAATACATTGTGCAGGGCAAATATATGCTAGTGGATTACGTGCTTTCTCCTCGTGGTAAGTTAATACTTCTCATTTTAGTATCCAAAATAAATAAATGGAAAAGTTGTTTCGTTTTTTAAAGTTTGTATTTTTGCTCTCTATTTGCAGATAAGGCCGGCGTGAATGAAAAGGGATCAGAGCAGACGCAGACGTGGACTTCCTAGTACTTATGACTCATTACAACCCATGTTTTTATAGCATCACCATATATATGGGATACTTTTGTTTTTTGTTTTTTTTCTCTTCATGTTCTTTGTGTTGACATATATAGTCAACTTTTGAGGTCAATCAGGGTAGGCCAGTAGTAATTGTCAAGGGAATTCTGTGTAATTTGCTCTAATTTTTGTTTCCTCTTTGCCATAATATTGGTCTTAATTTAATGTATATGGTAAAGCCATAGTAATGAGTTTGAATTCTTCATTTCAATGCTTTTGGAGTGAATGGGTTGATAATTGTTAACTATTCATTGTTTTAAGAATTTGTGTGTAATTTGATGTTTACATCACTATCAAGTTCAGGTTTCGAAGCTGAATATTTTTGTACCTTGCGTGCAGACAGTTTGTATTACAGGAGCTTTTTACAACAAGATGTAACAGATGTCGATTGGAATTGTGATATGGATGGTGTTGTGGATGGATTTATTTGGCAATGTTATGGATTTGTCTTTAACAAATGCATGTTTTATTTTTGGGATATACTCTGGATGGATTTGCACAAATTAGTCAGCATGGTGGGACTGAGACATATCTTGCTTCTTCTTTTTTTCCTGTGGGTATGAAATCCAAATGTGTAACTTGCACAATATTTCAAACCGTTAAAGTGAATTTTATAGTTGTGACATCTCCAAACTTAAATTTCATTTCGGGGATAACAATATGCGTTTGTTTAAATTTAATATTGTATACTTGCTATTTCATCTATTTCCTTTACGTGGGTTTTTTTTTTTGGCCGGAGGGGGGGGCGTAGTTTGATGAAACAATGGAGATCATTTTGTTGAGTTTGTTTATGTACTGAAAAGGCACAATGACTTCTTTGGATTTGAAAGATGTTGGCATGTCATTTGTTGGGCGTGATGAGTGTCTTGTATATGCTTTTTAAATAAATAAAGTAAAAATTTGTACAAATCGGATGATGCATCAGATTATCTGAAACATTGTAGCCAACTGACTTGACTTGAGTTGATCTCGATGTAGAGGTAGAGCATAGCCTAGCACAAGGCCAAAGAAAAGCAGAACTCGTCAAAGGGTGGATAGAGATCATCCAGAGAAGAGTAAAACTCATGAAGCATAAAAGAACTCATCCATGAAGAAAGACTTTGAGGTTATCCTTTGAGGATGATTCCCAGGTCATCCATAAGAAAGGCGGACCCAGAGGTCAAACCTGAGAAGGAAGACCCCCCATAGTAGAGCAAATTTCACCCCTAAGGATTTCAGCATCAATTTGATAACTTCCACTTCAGAAAGTTCTGTTTGGAGTTAGGAATCTCAGGGATATTATGACATGTTCAAAGTTTATTTTTATTTTTATTTTAATAGATGATCAAACCTTTTTATATACAATTTTGAATTCACTATAATAAACACAATAAAAAGTATTAATTTTTTGAGTATCCACCAAGAAAATTTATGGGATCACAAGAATAATTATGCTTCATTTGAGAGATTTATTAGTAAATGCCCCATCCCGAATTTAGTTTGAATTTGAATATGATTTAGTAGTAAATGCCCCAAATATATTCAAATTCAAACTAAATTCGGGATGGGATAAGCTCTCCTTCATATCTCATCTTTCTATACCTCTCTTGTGAGTCTCAACCTAAACTCACACTAATAATCTAAATCGTCTACTTCGTAAGTCTCGTAATAAAAATTATCCATACAAAAAATCAATAATCTGAATGTTTGATCTCATATGTCTCGCAATAAAGGAGGTGGTTGTATGTGTGAGAGAAATGGCACTCCAAATCCCTACTTGGTTCAACTTGTAAGTCAACTGAGAGATGCCACATCAATCAACACCACCTTATATACCGGTGCCACAACATCAAGAAAAGATAAGAGTTTTAATTCAAACATGCCACAACTTCTTCGCCATGGATTTCTCCCCTTTTCTTCTCCCTCATTTCCTTTTCGGTAAACCACCGATAAGTCTTAATAGTTGGACTTCATTCTTCTCAAGTTCTATTGAAAATAAGTCTTAGTAAAATTGTCGCTAAAATAGTTTTTTGTGACATTTTTTACATATGTCGCTAAAAATTGATAATTAGTGACTATTTTTATAATGATTTTTATAAATTGTCGCTAAAATATACAATTAGTAGCGTTTTTCTATGACAATTTTTAAACTATCACTAAAAGATGTAAATTAGTGACTTTTTTTGTTCAACTGTAGTTTAAACTTATAATTAATAACGTTTTTTGTGACAATTTTCAAGCTGTCGCTAAAAATTAATAATTAGTGACATTTTTTAATAGTGTTTAATGAAAAATGTCATTAATTATCATAAGACCTTATGGACAATAAGTCCACTTTATTAAGACCTACACGTAAGTCTCCATTTTCTTTTTTCAATCAACATTCCATGAACTTTAATAAGTAATGTAGACTTCTAATAATTTTTATTCAACCTAATTTCTACCTGTATACATTATGCAGACACGCATTTGATTAAAAAGTAAATTTTAAAAAAAAAAATCCAAAAACAAATGCGTGTTGGGTCCAAATACAAATGCATTTGATCACTCTCAACCCTTTATCGCCATTGACCCCAAAATCCGAATTTTGATTCCAATAATACTCTCATCTTCAATTTTAAAATTCTAATTTTTCTCCCATTCACCCACCCATCCTTTGTCGTCATTGTCTCCACTCTCAACCCTCTATCGCGACTACCATGGCCACTAACACCAAAATCAAGAATGATTGCAAGGGACTTTGACCCTCCTCGTGAGGATAGTCCCAAGTAGAACAAAGGTCCCAAATGGGGTCAGTTATACACTAAGCTGACACCAAAATCAAGAAAGAATAATAAACGAATTTGAGCCTCCTTGTGAGGATAGTCCCAAATAGAACGTGGACCCTCACCAAGAGGATAGTTTAAATAAGACTTGGTCACAAATGAGCTCAGATCGGCTCAAAGCTAACCCTAAAATCAACAATAATTGCAAGGGTGTATTGATTCCAAATAGAGTGAATCTTACTCCAACAAAGGCCCAAACAATCACAAGAACTTACATAAACTTGGCCGACCCCGGGGTGGTCTTTTGAACTTAGCTGACCCCGTGGGATGACCATTATGAACTTGGCAGACCCCGGGGTGACCATTTTGAACTTGGCCGACCCTATGGGTGGTCTTCTAAACTTGGCCTACTCTATTGATGGCCTTTGACTATCCTACACATGGAGAAGGGCTCGTTCAACATTCATCGATCGGCATTAAATTGCCAACTCTGTTGATGGCCTTCGGCAATCTTGAACATTGGCGAGTCGACTCTCTCAACCTTCATTTGCTAGTGGGCTTTGTAGAGAAAATGATCAAGCGATGAAAATCAAAAGGCTTGGTTATTGTTTCTTCATTTCCATTCCTTCACTTGGTTCTTGCTTTTTCTAATGACTGTATTTTATAGGGTGAGCAAATAACACCTTAGACTATAAGTTCAGTAAGTCTATTCCAATTGGAGCAAGAACATATGAACTATTTGCTAGTTCTTTTCTGTGTTTCAAATGCATGATCTCGTTGTCTTGGACGTGTGTTGGTCTATATAGATGCGAGTTACACAAAAGTAAAGCGTACTCATATTGTACTGAAAAATCACAAGATCTTATAACAAGATTTCAAGATACAAAGCTTAAGATCTTAGAACAAACACTTGAAGATACAAAAGTTAAAAGCAAAACAACCACAAATATTGAGGGTGCAAGGGTTATAACTCGCCAAAGAAATAGAATGGCTGATGTGAATTCTTTACAAAATATCTAAAGGAGGATGCAGAGTTAAGAATAGGGGTTCATTTTTCAGCCAATAGCAGCATTAGTTGTGATGGGTTGCATCACTTCATCCCCATCACCTACTTCAGCAGCAGTGGTTGAGCCAACCACCTCATCCCAGAGAGAAAGTGCAGTAGTGCAGATGCGGAATCATGTAGCAGAGATCGAAAAAACCATGGGGCAGAGATAACTTTAAGATTTCAAAAGTAAAATAAAAGAAAATGTCAGACCAACACTCATACGTCAAATAGAGTACATAATCAAATCATAAACGCCTTATCCCCATCTTAATAGCAATCGCAACGGAGGCGCATTGCTGGCATGACAAAATATTTTCCAGATATAGCTTTCTTGGTTTGATCATTCTCTTTGCCTGAACATCCCTAGAGGAGGTAGTAGACAGAGAACATGAGGCTGCTCGTATTGTATGGAATGATCGGGCCTTAAAGGTCCAACTCGACCAGCCAGTGGGAAAAATGTTAATCTAGACCAAGGAAAAGAAAACATCACAAATTAGAAAACAAAGAACAAGGTAATACATCAGCACAACTACCAATTTGGTAGTCTAAAAAACAAAACTAAAAAAATATTTAAAAAAAAAAAAAAAACTTAAACAAGGATTCCTCTTCTTTTCCTTGTACATAAATAAGGCTTCCTCCTCTTTTTTATTTAATTTTTATTTCCTTTTCTTTTCTTTCTTTTCTTTCTTTTTTTGTTTTTCACATTTGGATTAATTATGGTAGAACATAGGACTGGCGACATCACCAAATCATCTTGGGATGACAGACACCACCGCAAGAGGCACCTAGGTCATGCCTCAACCAGGGCAGGCATGGAATACACCATAAAGAAGGGGGCCAAAGGCAATGAAAGATAGAGGATGTTGCACTCAAGGGGAGAACATGTTCATCTAAGAAAATGGTCCAAATGACTAGAGAGTACAACCAGTTTAATAAAATACAAAAGAACTGTATATACTGGCATACCTCAGTAGGATGGTTGTTGAGTATATGGCATAACGGAGCTTAAAATTGCACAAAGAAACTCTTTATTATATTACTAATAAACTCATACAGATGAGGGGAGCCAAGCAAGGGTGAGAGAGGGGAGACTAGGAGGTGAGACATACAGATTTGAGAGGGGGGAATCAAGAAAGAGAACCAAAAGGTGAGAAAGAGAGTTCAGTCCAGTCGATATCCCAATGAGAAAGATGATGATAACCCCTACAGGATAAGGGTGGTCTCTCAAGAACCATTACATGTATCCCTTGTAGATTAAAAAAAATATATCTGATTGAAGTTAAAGTCCAATAATCTCACATATTAATAAGGTTACACTATATAAACAGTCATGTAGGGCAAGACAACCAAGAAAGGCAAGCAAAACATCCCAATCGGTATTTTTCTCACTTTCAAGTGCAAACAGGAAGCACTTTGATACATAAGCACAATGTGTCATCATGCAAACACATTCAAAGATGGATGTAATGAAGTAAATACGTACTTAAAGAGACAAATGTAGGTTTTTGTTGTCGTGCTTGTCTGAAACTCGACCTATGTCTTACATCCAAATATGATACACATCTAAACAAGTTAACTAAGACATTCAAAAAACAGCCCAACCTCTTTGTTTGAAGCTTTGTCACGATCATTTTTAGGGACTCTGTTGCTCTTACAAATTTTTGAATAAATGGCTTCCATCTTGCTAGAACTAAAACAGATAGCTGCCTTTGGCTCTTCTGTAACTGATTCCTCAGGTCCCTCGATACCAACCTACTCAAGAAATACTTGAGAAATCAACAGTCCCGAGTCTTTTACTTTACCCCAACATCAAGGGCAAAAATAAACGAATAAAGAGGACTCAACATGTAGTAATCTTATTACCTTTGTGTTACGATTCATTTCCCCATCCTTCAACTTCCTCTTCACCAATTCCTTTGCTCGAATTGCATACCTCGTTGGTTGGATAAATCCTTACAAAACAATATAAATATAGTAATAAACAAATACATAAAATAAAACAAGTGAAACAAAATCCTTTTCTTTTGGGGAGCTACTTCCTCTTCCTTTTCTTTGATGTATGGAACACTTAAAACTGTTAAAAGCCCTGAGTCAACCTCACCTAAACACCTCTCAGGTCTTGACCTTTCCCAATAACATAGATAGCATCATGTCAACAAAACAAAACATACATTCATCAATACAGATAATTATAAGCACGTTGAGATATTGAGTTCAATTTAATATAATAACATTAAAAGTTGACTCAATTAATGAATGAAAGACAATACGAAATAAATATCCTCAAAAGGTTGTATGAACATTAACAGAAAAGTAAAAGTCACGGACCAGATCTTGTTCAAATTAATGCCTCGGTACTTTGGCTGTATCTTCGCTCCCTGGAGTAGCCATGCAATATCTAAGGCCACCTGTTCTTTTGACAACTGTCACAGAGCCAAACAAATTGAAAAGAATTGAGTGTGCCACAAAGTGGGGAATGAAAAAGGACATATCAAGAGGGGAGAGATGCAAGGATTACATATATAAATCAACTGAGAATAATCCATCAATGAAAAAAAGAAAAGAAAAAGAATCCATGGCCAGAAATGAAAACAAATATGTTTTTCCCTTTTGTAGATCAGGAAAAAGAAAGTATATAAATAAAAAATCAACACGAAAGAAAAATAATTGATGTTGGGAGGGGGTGCTAAGAACTAAATTAGTCTTGGATTTTCATGAAATGCAACCAACAACGATTAACTAGCATTTGATACTTCTTTTATGTTTTAAATGGACCATCCGAAGTATCATTAATTCTTCTTTGATGCTAGAAACGCAACCACTACAAGGAGTACATACATTAGCTCGTTCTTGCCGAATATTGCTTCGATAGTGTCACCCTCCATCTCAAAAAATTCAAGCAGCACTAATACAGATGTAAATGCGGCCTTGCCCCCAGAAGCAACTTCTTTTGTTCATTGTAGGATGTGGGTTTCTACTCCTCACAAATTAGTGCTCCATCTTACTTAAGATATATTGGTGGATAGATATGCGTCCATTTGAAGTAGAACCATCTCTGATCTGAGACTTGAGTAGAGCCACCTCTTCCCTAGCAGTCATCAGAAGAACAGCCAGTTCTACAACATTTCCTTCCTTTGCATAGTGACAAATTTCTAGCTCAGCTTCTTTCGTGTTCAATACAAGCACCCTGATAGAATCCATCTGCTTTTTCTGCAGGAATGTTAATGTTCAAGATCAGCAAGCTTCGCAAAATTTCTCATCAACGCCATCACACAATTTTTTGAACTATTAAAAGGGTAAAACATTAATTCTTTGGCAACCAATTTAAGTGAAAATGCAGTCAATTGATTAGAGAGAGAGAGAACGTCTATGACCATGCTCAGCCCTACAAGCAACTCAAAGAAAGGTTTTCTAGGATTCCACATCTCAAAAAATATTGATGACCAGGAAAACAGAGCTCTGGCCACACATACACACACAAAATAAAATAAAATAAAATAAAATCTACCGTAAATGTCCTCCTCCACTTCGAAAAGGTAACAAAAAGCTTTGAATGGAGATAAGTAGATAATAAATAGTCGTAGTTCCATACGATATTGATTCAACAGCTGTATTTAGTGGCAGCTTCCCTTCTAGGTACCACAAAGATTGTCCGACACCATAACTCGATGTTACATGTAATGCTTTTATTTAGTAATACTCTGATGAATGAATTAATGAATTGTTTTCTTTAAATGGTGCATGTCAATGACATATATATATTGGGTTTATTTTGAGGGCGTTACAATGACCATGCTCAGCCCTACAAGCAACTCAAAGAAAGGTTTTCTAGGATTCCACATCTCAAAAAATATTGATGACCTGGAAAACAGAGCTCTGGCCACACACACACACACACAAAAATAAATAAATAAATAAAATCTACGGTAAATGTCCTCCTCCACTTCGAAAAGGTAACAAAAAGCTTTGAATGGAGATAAGTAGATAATAAATAGTCGTAGTTCCATACAATATTGATTCAACAGCTGTATTTAGTGGCAGCTTCCCTTCTAGGTACCCCAAAGATTGTCCGACACCATAACACCTGTGATCAAATGAAGCTCCATGGCAAATAAATAACTCAATAAGGTCATAGTTATAAGTACGAGCCAGTGTATGCGTCATGGGCAATCTGAATGTGTCACTGCTGTAGAAATCAACTGTCTGACTGGTCTCTCCTTGAAACAATGCGGCAGCACATTTAAGGGCTCCATATTCAAAAATCCATTCCCAGTGCACCAGCGGGATTACATCAGCTTTATATTTATGGCGATTAATTCCGGACACAAATTTATCCTTATCATCATCGATGATTGTACTCCTAAGTTCGTAGTCCTCTTTGGGAGAGACGTCAAGCCCTAAATCAAAATTATCGCTGCATCTCTGGTAATGTGGACATAATTGAAAGACCAGATCACATTTCAATTTCACCGATATAAAACAAAACTTCGTAACTGTAAAGAGAAATAGGAGGACTTTGAATGATAGAGCACTTAGCATACCTCATCATTCGAACCCATCAACACTTGCTAAAATTCAAAGATGCCTATCCTTCATACCAACAAAAGATTTCATCATTATGTAAGAAGAAAAGAAGAACATGAATATTTACCTACGTCACTCCACGGCAGTTCGAATTATTAATTTGTAAGTAACCATTGTAACACAGTTATTATACTAAAGAATTAAGGATGAGAGAAAGGAACCACAAAATGTGATGTTTAGAAGAGCAATAATTTAAAGCAAGAGGACAACATCAACATTCAACACATTCAATCGATTTGCCAAATCCTATCTTTGAACAAACCACAAGGGCTGAACTTCCTACATATGTACATATATATTACACAGAGCTAAACAGAACGCCTAAGGTCAAGAAATGTGTCCAACACTTCTTAGGTGTCTACGACTAAGAAATTAATACATGATCAACACTGTTACACTTACAAAACATGATTATCAAAATTTTGGAATTTGAAAATTCACTATCTTATACAAGTTGAAAATATATATCTAGTAAGACTAATCATATTTAAATTTCACTTAAATTTGTAGAAAAATGCAAAAGGCCTGATTAAATGGGGACAAAGACACGAACACAGATGCGGACACAGGACACAACGATTTTAAAAAAATGGGGACACGGACACGGACACGGTGGGAACACAGCAATAAAATATATTTTTATATATTTTTATTTGCTATCTAGATTAATATTAGATCCACAAACAATCCATATTAACAAAAACTAACTCTATTCTATATATATTTTTAAAAAGTACTTTTAAATTAACACATATAGTTTATATCTTTTTTAATGGATGATCTATTAAGTATGTAAATCTAAGAAAAAAATAATAAATATTCAACATTCATCAAATGCACTACATAAAATGGGAGAGAAGACAATTTGGCGTGTCCTTAATGTGTCATCAAAGTGTTCCCGGCGTGTTCCTGAAAATAAATTAATTAAATAAGGGGACACACCATGTGGTGTGTTCCATATGTGTCCCTGCTGCATCCCCAAAGTGTTCGTGTGTCCGGCACGAATACGGCACTTGCTTTGAAGTGTCGATGCTTCATAGAATATATGTATATCTTACATGAATGTAAGATACCATTGTGACACTAGACCTAGGAAGCACAGATACGGCAATGTGACGAAACCTTAAAAAATAGGATATAGGTGCAGAGAGGATATGTTTGTAAAAAATATATATATTTATAATTTCTAAAAATATATTATGCATAAAAATAAAACCAAAAGCAAGAGTTCATTCGTTTAGTCAAAATCAAACATTGATTCGGTACTTGCCAAAACCAAAAGCAAGCTAATAAAAAAAATCTACTAAGCTAGGAATCTTCATTCCCAACTCCTACTTGTTCCTTTTCATCTCTATGTGTGTGTGTGTGTGTGTGTGTGTGTGTGTGTGTGTGTGTGAGAGAGAGAGAGAGAGAGAGAGGTTGCCTACCTAGTCAGTGATCATCTGATTATTTGTTATGTTTTGTTGAGATTGTTTATGTAATTGAGAAAGGTTAAGATTTGAGAGGTGTTTAGGTGAGGCTAATTCTTACCTTTTAACAATTTTAAGTGTTCCATATATCAAGGAAAAGGAAGAGGAAGTAAATCCCCAAAAAAATGTTGTTTCACTTGTTTTATGTGTTTTTTTTTTATATTATTATTATTATTGTACGGGGAGGAAATAATTCTCCTCATATAATCCTGTTGACCAAGTCCACGCTCCTCCGTACGACGTTGCTTTATCACCTGAAAACACAAACGTGAGCTACCCGGCGGGTGTGTGCCGGAAACCTCTCCGATGCCTAAGTCAGTAAGCTTGACAAATAGAAAAAAGCTCTGTGTATTCAGAAAGCAAAGTTGTGTGTTACCTCTCCAAAGGTGATGTTTGTGAGCTTTTATAGGTTCTGCGTGGCACAATCCTAGTAGGACTTTTACTCTTCCATGCAGAGTCCTCCTAGGATTCATACTCTTGAAAGATAATGCTTATCCTTCAATACCCCCCTCACAGCTTAAACTAAGTGGGATGATTTTTACCATGGCCGAACTCCAATATGACCGAAGTAATCATGATCAAGCCGAGCCACAGAGTAGACCGAACTATCGTTAGTTCGGTTCTACCTTCAGTGTTCCTACTCCAGTTCCTCCATTGTCAACAGTGTTAAGTCTAAACCGATCTAACTTCTAGCAAGGCTTTTAGACTGAACTAACCATACTGTGCCTTAACCAATATAAGTTCAACGCATCCTTAAACCGGTCCAACTACAAAGCGTCCTTCAACCGGACTAACATCAAGAGTAACTCGGACCGGTCTACCTTCTGGGCTTGAGATCGGGCTAACTTTAAGCCTCTTCAAGACCGGAGTAACTTTATGGCCTCTTTACTCAGCCCTTCGTACTGAGGCCCATAAAGGCCCAACTATTGTAGGACCTTAATGTCTCTTTTCGCCCATGTCGATGGAGAGTAGCTGGTCAATCTCCACTAGGGTTTTGGTGTTTGTTCTGAACCTTATGACAAACGCCTCCGCCAATTGCGCCCAGGAGGCTATGCTGCCTTCTGGAAGTTTTTAGAATCAAGTCAAGCTCTGCATATTAGGAATGGGAAACGGGGCAAGTTTGTATCTAATCCGTTGCACATATGTACTGGTTCACCAATTGGCACCCACACACACGTTACGCAAGGTATGCACATCTTTGTGAAGTAAAACAATTCTTGCCGAGTTTTGAACCAGTGACTTGAGAAAAAAAGCCTAACTAGCACTAACTGCCAAGCTCTATCATTGCCGACGTATCATGTATTGTTTTGCAAATTTTGTTATTACAAAAAAGAAAAAGAAAAAGAAATATATCACATAATAAAAAGCAGGCATCGTTGAGGACGTAATAGATAGAGAATAACTAGAGGGTGTGGGCACAAAAAAAATTAACAAAAACAAAAAATTAATGTATTATATAGAGTTATTGGCTTTCTCATTTTTTCTAGAGACTCAAAAAAGGTTTACACATAATTTTTTGCTTAACTTCACACACATTTGTCGGTAAGACTTGGATGAACTTAGTTTAGCTTCAGACATGAAAACGATGAACTCAAAATGAAAGTTGAGAGCTAGCCTAACTATTAACATAAATAAAAAATGTAAAGCGCAAACAAACAAATTTGAGCGAGCAGAGTCAACCACACAAAACAAAAACTAAAAACACACTTGTATAAAGTGTATAAATTAAAACCCAGGCATGTAGGAATAGACATTGAATTGAAAGAAAAGGTCCTACCTTTACTCTTTTTTATTTATTTATTATTTTATTGTTATTAATAAAGAGAAAATCATTAGGGCATCCATGGAATAAAGTGCTGAACTTTTTGAAAAATCAAACCACTATTGGGTAACTTGAAGATGATAACTGTGCCAAAAAAAAAATTCTTATATTGGGCACAAAAAATAAAACATATGTTGCCAAATTTTTTTGCACATTAACCAATTTTATTTATTTAATATAATTTTTTAACCACTTCAAAGAAAGAAAACCCAGTAAAAGCCAATTTTATTCACATACTAATTAGATCTCCAATAATGGCAGCTATATAAACACAAATCAAACCAAGAATGACCCAATTTTTTTTAGTAAATATTTTAAGAAAATTTAAAAAGTTTTGAGAAATTGAAAAATGGGGTAAAAAAGATATAAGATAGGTAGAAACAAAACAATGAGGAGAGAGAGAGAGAGAGAGAGAGAGAGAGAGAGAGAGAAAGAATACCCGTCCGGTTCGGCAGAGGCGAATATTATGCGTTCGGCGATGAACTGGTGTGGACTGTAGAAAAAGCCTGTGGTGTGGTGTACACCAAAAACAAAGCTGGCCAAACAGTACTTTGCTTTTGCAGAAGCATTAATCAATATTTGTAGTCTCTTCTTTCTTTTTTGTCTGTTTCATAGATTTGGCCGTACATCCCATTTTTTGCTTGTCGAACCCTAATTTGGTTTAGAGGGTGTGCATATTTGCCCCGGCTAGGGCTGCAAGCTCCTATTAATGTCAAGTTTGGGATATTGAGAAAAAGTTAAACGGTCAAAAAGTTATTTAAAAAGTCAAAAAGTTAATACTATTCACTAAAAGTCAACAATTATAGCTGCACAACTTCCAATCTTAATTTTTCTCTACAAATCATTTTTTATAATTTTTTACTACACATTTTTCTATAAAAAGTCAAAAAGTTAACTCAAACATCCATATTTTTCTCCTCAATTTTTTAGTCCAAAAAAATAAAAAGTGCACTTATTTAGGACACCCCAAATAACTCCTAAAATTCAGGACAAGTCGGGTCACGGGTCATGAAATTTGGGCTACACCTAGGCTCGGGATATTTGAGCTTTGGATGGGCCGATGGATCAAGCCGCAAGCAGGTTTCAAGTCGCAAGTTATTTTTATACCCCTAAGCGGTATTTGATTTTGAGATAAATTATTTTAATAAAAAAAAGGGGAATTGACCAGTAAATCCCATTTTGTGGACTTATAATCCATGAGATCCTAAATGTTTTCTTGGTGACTGAATGGTCCCTTAATTTATTTGTTGACTATTTTGCCACTACTAGTATTATTGGTTGATTGGCATGGGTTGTATAGCGAAGGTGAATGAGTGTTTGTGTGTCACGTTGATCGGAAAAGTGCACTAATACTTTTTTTAATTTAGTAGATTTGTAACACGCGTAGAAATGAAACGTGGTAATGTCATAATATTGTTTCGTACGTGACGTGAACACACAAAATAATCTCACACACACAAGGTAACAAACAACCTAACCCAGACGACATTCACACACCATACACACATACGCTTGGCAGACAATGGGACAATCTGACTCACAAACTATTGTCTACAACATGTATACACATTGACACCTCACCATTATACTTCACCAACATAAGGATTCAAGAAGGAAAACTTACAATTGTGAGTCAGTATCACAGGGTTAGAAATTCGTTACGTCAACCCACTGTCGGCACACCATCAGCCCCAATCGTCGCACACCGTAAACCCTAAAATGTCGTCTCTAGCCACCAAACCCCAAACTCCAATGCCCACCTACCAACAACACAATCGTAATCGTCACCTACGTCACCCAAATAAAAAACACCAAATCTCACAGATTCACACAATCCGCCATTGTTGCTTCTAGCGTGAACATCGTCAAGTCGGTGTACCACGTCGACAAAGTTGATCTGCCGGATTCCTTCCAAACATTGTTCACGTCGATTTTATTTGTTCGTCGGTTTCCCCCCTAACATTGTTCACGTTGATCTACCATTTTTATTTCGTTTGCTTCGTCAGTCCATCTTCTGTGACATTGTTCACATTTGCTTGGTCAATCTAAACATTGATCTGTACATTCCAAAACCACAGAACTTCCTGCAAATAAACTAAAGAGGGCATAATCGTCCCATCCATACGAAGCTACATTTGAAACGAGACTTCTTGGTTACAATTTACCATTACAAAGGACTTGCCAATCAAACATTTGAACCGTGGGGCCAACTGGTGCAACATTTTTCAAATCAGACTTTTCAATAATTTTCCCTAAAAAACAATTATATATTCAGTAGCTAGTATTTAAATATAATAATTATATATTCATTAGCTAGTATTTAAATATAATTTTTTATTATTATTATAATTATAAATATATATTATTTTTTATTAAATATTGTTATTATTATTATTATTTTATTAATATGTAAATAAAAAATAATATGTAAAAATTATATATTCATTTTATCAATATGTAAATATAATTAATTATTATTATTATTATAAATATATATTATTTTTTATTAAATATTGTTATTATTATTATTATTTTATTAATATGTAAATAAAAAATAATATGTAAAAATTATATATTCATTTTATCAATATGTAAATATAATTAATTATTATTATTATTATAAATATATATTATTTTTTATTAAATATTGTTATTATTATTATTATTTTATTAATATGTAAATAAAAAATAATATGTAAAAATTATATATTCATTTTATCAATATGTAAATATAATTAATTATTATTATTATTATAAATATATATTATTTTTTATTAAATATTGTTATTATTATTATTATTTTATTAATATGTAAATAAAAAATAATATGTAAAAATTATATATTCATTTTATCAATATGTAAATATAATTAATTATTATTATTATTATAAATATATATTATTTTTTATTAAATATTGTTATTAACTACGTCAACCAACATTCACTAAATAATAATAACAATTCTCTCATCTTTACATCATTAATCAACAAGTTTATACAAAAGTCCCACATGCAAATTATACATTCAAGGATAAAGGAATACATGAATCTATTGCATATAGAACATCAGGTTCCAAAATAATAAAATGCCCTCATAGGTTACAACTTCCAAGGCTTAAGCCCGGTTACACACAAATGGCCTCTCGGACTCATACATGAATAGCCCTTGGCTAGCAATTAATTCATAACAAAATAGAATGTTACTCTTCACAACATATCCATGCCCTCAACTTGGCGGGATCACCACGTTTTTTCCTGCACCAAAATCCCATAAGGGTAAGCATCAAGCCCAGTAGATGTAACGCCCCCAAAAAAATATACCACAGATGTGATCCACAACAGCATAAATAGCAGTTACATAAATCAGAGTGTAAGTAATCCTTTCATTACATGAAGTAGAAATACAAAAGAGTTCAACATAAGCGAATGCCCTTTGGGCATACATCTTTCCAAGACATTACTTGGTTACAACAAAAGAGAGTCATAAGCTCAATACATGTAAAGCTCTTGGCTTGAATAAACATTTAAACAATCAAACATCAAATAACATAATAGAGTCTCCAGCTCCTAAGCCTTCTCAAGCTACGTCCTTGGAAGGAGCATGACACTGGTACCTGAAAATGGTTTCCCAAGTAGGGTGAGCCAAAACCCAGTAGAGATAGACTAACACCATATATGAGGCTTAACTAAGATACATGTGCTAAGTAAATGTTCCACACTCATAACCAACTCGCATTCTTTCCATAATCATTCAATACTGATACATTTATCTCAATTCCATTTCCATCTATTCAATTCATATTAATTTAGTTAATTCCGAGTCAATTCATGAAACAAGCTTATTGTTATCTAAACAATCCAAAATGAGACTGCAACTCAATAATTCATAACTCAATACTACTATTATTCAAACACTTCAATTTTTTCATTTAGCGAAATTTTCATCCGAGGGAACCGGCACCCATATATGCACAAGATATGAAGTTTTGCCATTTTACGAAATTTTCATCCGAGGAAACCAGCACCCATATATCCACAAGATATCATGATTTGCCATTTTACGAAATTTTCATCCGAGGGAACCAGCACCCATATATGCAAGGTTTCAGGACTTTCACCCTGGACACTCCGACCAACTTAATTTTAAATGGAGTCCAACCCCTATCTCCTCCCAAACAATGATACATATGCAATGTATTAAAAGCATCGTCATAGACGATGACTATCTATGACACAAATTCAACATCTCAATCATACCATCATATTCAATGAGGTAAATTTAAAGGTTTCAATTCACCTAATTCACATGCAGTTTCTACAATAATCATAGCTATCCTCCACCGATAGCCCAGAATAGATATTTCTAAACCGATAAACAAATCTATCAAACAAATAACTTGCCAAAATTTCCATAGGTGTATGATTAACCAAATCTAACTACACCATTCATTCACACGTCTTCCCAGTTTCACATTTCTCATACCAATTCCATTATTTATACCAAATAATTATTTAGCTCATATTAGGGCAAATTTCTCCCTTTCTCCAATACTAACCCAAAGGTCAAATTCACCTATTCAAACACAAAACCACTTCATATCCCAACCCATGGTCAAATATACAACAATACATAAAAACCCCTCTTTCAAAAATTAAACCTGATCCCTAGGTTTTCTCCAAACACCCCAAATCTCACCATATATTCGTAACAACAAATACCTAGGTTAAAAATCATAAACAAATGTAGTAGATCCCTACTTCAAATGGAGAAGCTCAAAGGAGATGAAGAGTGAAACTTGAAGATGCTCCAGACTTGAATTTCTGCGGATCAAAATGAACCCTACACAATACTCTACCTTTTTAACAAAGGGACTAGGGTAGAAAGATCCGAGATCAAGGTGTATTTGTAGAGAGAGAGAGAGAGACAGCTAGATTTAGGGTTTGGAGTGAAAGGAGATGAAAAGTGATAAAAATCACGCTGCTGCGAACTGAGATATACGGATCTTGCTCGAGCGAAGGAGTTGTCGCTCGAGTGACCAGACACAAAAGAACCTCGCTCGAGCGCAAGAAGTGTCGCTCGAGCAAAGAAACACATAACACAGGGCTCGCTCGAGCGCAAGAAAGCTCGCTCGAGCAAAGAATACCAACCTTCAGGTCTTACAGAGACGCAGACGCACGCTCGAGCGTAAGAGCGCTCGCTTGAGCGAAGAGACACACCACACAAAGCTCACTCGAGTGCAAGAACCATGGCTCGAGCGAATAAGCCAAATCCTGGGCAGCAACCTTTTGTACCAACTCACAACCAACCTAATCCAAACTCACCCAACAAGTCCCAAACTCAAATACAAAGAGAAAAAGGAAGGAAGCAAGGCCTAGGCAAAAACAAACAATCACAGAACCTGAGTCCGGAACACAATAATGGTCGGGGTGAAACCGGGATTGCTATAACATTCCCCCCTTAAAGAATTTCGTCCTCAAAATTTCAAAACAAGTGCCCAAACAATCACATTGTTCTCACTATGATAATCTTATCAATTTTAATCAACATGACTCATTCTCCGGTCACCTCTTCTCATTAACTCGATACACAAGTTTCAACGGTGAATCACAATTCATATATTTCCAAAATATTTACAATATTTATACTCAACTCATGTTCCCAAAATTCATGCAACACTTGCGATGTTATCAAAATAATACAAC